CCTGATCATAATGAAAGTAATCAAGTAATCTGTCATCGTTTGTGCATCGCTACATAGGGTAGTCGGCCTCCAGTAGAAAGCGCAACAATGTGGACAGCTACCCAAGATGGACACATTTGAATCCGGTTGAACAGCGCTGAGCGTTGGAACATATCCAGGGTTGACTAGCTTTAGGACTATGTTATTGGGGTCAGATACCTTCAAACGAGAGATCTTAATCACCGAGATTTCATCAATCCAGCTAAAAAACGGAGGCTTGGCTGAGTGGAAGTACACAGTTAGTGTGAAAAACCTAGACTGGGCTAATCTTTGTTGATATGAGAATAAAGGAAACTATTCTTTAGTCCATTACCTATTTCACCTTAATCGGGGTTCATCAGAGATGCACACTTCCCCAAATTCATTCCGATCTTGCTACCATCGATTCAGTTTTCGTTATGTAACCCGCTGTTTGCATCTTACGCGTAATTCTGTGCATTTCGAAAAGTGGCATCCTCACTACTCTTATTGCGTTTTCTGTGAAATTGGTCTCGACATCTGTGGTTTTGACCCACTGTGACAGTAGGGCGAGTCACACCATTGGTCAAACCTAAGCCTCACTTGTGAACGGCATAGAATCCGTTTGCACAGTGCATCAGACAAGCAATCTGATTGGCTGGTTAATCCGACCAATGTAGCCAGAGTCCACCTTAGTGTATCATGCACACTGGGTGGGCTTGCTTTAGTTTTGACAGACTAGACTCGGCCTTTTGAGGGAAGAAGTTGCAAAATTCTTTTTTCCAAGCAGTGAAGCAGAATTAACACGAATACCGTGCCTTGTTGCTCGGGTCGCTTGGTTCGTTACCTTCTGCAGGTTATTGACAAGATGAATGTCAAAGCCATAGTCGGGTGGATTTTTCGAAACGATTGCATCCAGTCACGCTACAGGAACTGCTTAAGCCGGTACTTTCCACTGACAGAGGTAAAATCCAGCTGACTCCGTTTATGGAAACTGTTCATTGGAAAGCACGCACTGCAGGCCATCCTACGCATTTCCTCCTGAGGGGTACACTCAGCACACACACAGGCAACCATTGGTTTGTTGGATAAACATTTACCCTTTTCAACACGCGAGTTACACGCAGATGAAGAGTGACAGTTTCCAGCCAACTGAAGCTGAAGTCATATTTACTTCGTGTACCCCCCCCCCAAGCGACACCCGGAAGTCTAAATACGTATCTAAATGTACAGGAATGGGGTGAAGGAACCACTACAACCCTTAACACTAGGGATAGAGTAAAACTTACTGCCTCCAATTTGCACAAAAGTGGTTTTTTGCTACAAACTTAATGTTTCGAAGCGCATGGTTTTTGCTGACCAGTTCTTGCGTCTAGTTATCCGTGCAGTGACTGAGATCAAACTACTGTACCACGGATAGACATGCCTTTCCTAGCGAACACTGTTGAAAGTTTCAAAAGAACCCAAATTACAAATTCAGTTTAACCTTTTTCAGACAGATTTTTAAATGATTGAAAATAATGGCATACACTGAAATAAAATGATGGGGACCTCCCACTTTTATTTTGGCTAGTTCATCTAATGGATGCTTAGCTGCCTAATAGGGGGGTTATCCTGCAATGTCCACAATACAGACAGACGCGAGTGCGGCTCAAGGATTTCCTACCAATGTAAAAAGGTAAGAGAAGTCGAACATTGTTCCGGCTCAAACCAATCGGTGCTACTATTCACATAAAGAAACACCATACACATAAACATTCTCACTGTTAAGGTAAACAAGCACCCAAAACTTGACTCAACATTCATCCGGTCCATTTAGAACGACCGTATGCTCGCACCAAACATCAGCAGTTCATCGTCGTCGGGTCGACAAACAACCCGGTAGTTTCCTGTCCCATTGACAAAAACAGTCGCAACATAAACAAACTAGTTATCGCATGTTTAGGACAAACGTTTCTCTGATCGAAGCACGAATGTGTTTTGTTTTCAAGGCACTGTTTTGGCAAACTAGTAGGAGGTACAAGTCAAACTCTGTTTCTCCGCTGTTCGGGATTCCGAATACTTTGCTACAGATGAGGATCATTCACAGTGACTGAAAGGTTGAACTCTGTGGTTAATTTGGGTTGCTTTCCGACCAATAATCGAACCAAACTACGGGGAAATCTCTTTCTCCATGAAGATGTTATCAAATGATCGTGTTCACGTACACAGGACCAACAACTTTTGTAATGATGGATTTTCGAGGCTAATTCGACTCAATTGATCGATCTATTCTACTTAATACGCCTGCTCAGGAAGACAACGCCAATATGATAAGTTCATTGTATTCTCAGACTTCCGGGCTGGGAGAACTTTCCAAAAGCTGCCGTACACAAAGTGGCGTCCGTCAGGGGTGCTCAGTCTTTCCATTCCTGTAATGACGTGGTTGACGAGATAATGAGTCAAATGGTGGAAGGTCACCAAAAAAACATGATGCCTAAATGGCCTCTGGCGAAGGTCTCGTCAACCTGGAATATGCAGACGACATCGCCCTCGTCTTCAAAAAGACGAAGGCGTATGTGTTTCTCAATGAACTGACATGGCATGCGCCTTGCACCCACAAAGTGTAACTTCTGGACACGTAACATACAACCTAAAGAGAGGACTCAAAGTTGCGCAGCGTTTTACGTATCTTGGAGGTTGCATTGGTTCCGGTTGTAGTGTGAAAGATGAGTTCGACGCGCAACTATCTAAGACTCGAGTCATCGCGCTTGCTGCCACTTTTTTCACTGTAAGACTTCGAATAAATTAGGATTGTACGGCAACAAAGCATGCTGTCGATGATGATGATTCTTGGAGAGTTCCAGTATATCACGACAGATGGGTAAGGTGTTCTGGGTGAACACGATCCAGAGTGGATTCTTAACGCATTCACTAATGTGTCCAGGTCACGGCGTAGAATCAGTTGGTTGGAAACTGGAAAGTCTCACTCTCTGTGATTCGACGGTACATCAGGCTGATTCTTTTGCCGCTCGTACACCTGAAAATTAGCACACCTCGCACAGAGTTTATCAAAAACTGGTTGATTATAGAGGTGAAGTTGTATGAAAACCTACGGCGATAGATCGACATGTTTTCAGACGTGACATGTGTGATTCTTGTGTGTTGTCGCGTTGTGGGTGTGAGGAACCGTCAGGCAAATAAGCGAAAAATGATGAAAGCCAAAAAGAAAAATAAGAAATGATATATGAACAAAACTGACAAAAAATGAGACGGAGGAAGCGGATGGCAAGAAATAAGTCAGGTCAATTCGTGGATGGTGGGGAGTGGCGTGTACAACCGAATTATGAGCGTAGTTTGTGGGGGAAAAAGACAATTCCCAATATAAGAGCAATAACAGTATTAATAATAATAATAGGAATAATCATAGAAATATAACAAAATCTACCAGCGTAGATCAGAAAAGAAAAAAAGAAACAACCAATGTACCGATGCTCCTGCATAGGGTTGGTGGAATTCCAGAGGCAGTTGCCACAGTAAACAAAATAAAACATACTGTAATTCGAACAGTGAAGACAAAGCGATCGATAAGAGTGGGCATTATCACACACACACACACACTCCTGACAGTCGTTGTCTATTTTTCGGGACAACACATTACACAGATCCACAAACAAGTATGCGCATGTGGGAAAGCACGATTAAAGCATGTGCACAGACAGTGTGGTAAGATAGGATAACCGATCGATGAAATTTACAGTGAGGTGAGCGCGGATAAGAAAAGACAAGATGGATGGGTCGATCGTGCGTAGAGACACATTCCAGCTGTGCCGATCACACACCCGTCACGAGTTGGATGCGTCCACGGTCTCACTCAGAACCACAGGTGATAGACTATCGGATCTGGACAAGCATGAACCGGCGCAGGCAAAGGTCGGCTGGAAGCGAAGATAACTGATTAGTCGGGGCGGAAGTTCCAGACGGTCCAAAAGTTTGTCCTGCACCAACTGGGAACGGTATAGAAATGCTGTGGTTACCGGAGAAACAGAGGGGTAAACGCTGACAACTATATGGGTAAGTGAGTGATACAGCTCTTAGTCAGGGAGGACGTGAGTAGCGTGAACACGTGACATGCAGCTGCTGTCCCTAATTTACGGGTCACTTTGCCATCCCTGGTGTCTGAGATTTACCCGCACTTCAATAATCCGATGTTACTGGTAATGGAAAGTGAAAATTTCGAAAGCGAATAGTTCCAATCGACAGTAGTAACACAGATAAGAGAAAGCGTTCAGCTGTAGCACCCTTCCGGTGCCTAGCTGCCATGCCACCTAAAGGAAGCACGAGGGCTGGGATACTGCCAGGTTGACCAAGCCTAGAAAGGGGAAGTCGAGAGGCACAGGTCTGTTTCGAACCACGGTCCTTCCAGTTGGTAGATTCACGCTCTAACCACCTGGGCCGTCTCGCCCCCAGATAAAAACTGGGGAACTGACCAAAACAAAAGTATTCACCTGGTAAGACTCTGAGTATCCGTTAAGGACAGCACTATCTAAAGCGGGATTTTTCAAAAGAGGATATTCCAAGACCTCGCAAGGGAGAGATTCACACGTTCGCGGGTCAAATTGATTGTGAAGCACATGACATCCATTCCACCGACTTTAATTGAAAAACATAGTTCTACAATGAACTGTATCTGAGGGACCCCTTCAACCCGAATGCGGTGGGGGTGTATGGGGATTCACCGATCCAAACTAAGCTTCCCAAGGATAAAACTAACACAAGCAATTAGGTACACATAATTGTGGACAGGGTAACTTCATGAACTGCTTCCGATCCTAATTGGGACAGCAGTCCGGAGGATTCAGGAAGTTCTGACAACAGGTTAACTTAAGAGGGTAAGGAAACCAAAGCGATATTCAGGGCAGCTGAGGACAAAACGAAAGACTGAAGAACTACTGGAAGAGTCTCTTGTTTTTCTCACGCGACTCCGAATTTAAACAGATTATAATAAATAATAGATCGTTTAGCTGCAACACCCTTCTGGTGTCTAGCTGCCATGCCACCCGAAGGAAGCACGAGGACTGGGATACTGTCAGGTTGACCAAGCCTAGACAGGGGAAGTCGAGAGGCAGAGGTCGGGTTCGAACCCCAGACCTTCCGGTCAATAAATTCGCGCTCCAACCACTTGAGCCACCTCGCCTCTAAATTAGACAGATTTCATGACAAGGAATAAGCAAGATTTTACCCTGGAAGACCACCGAGAGAGACTCCATTCTTCGGAAGAGACTACAGCATGTTCTCCTATCCGGCGTTTTTTAGAGGACTTTTAGTTACTGCGGTTATAGGGAAATCTGTAGTATCGTTCATCCGTGGTAACTTTTTGAAGGAAGCACGAGGGTTTTTCAGGCCTGGACGGAATTAATCGAAAAGCCGGGACCAGTTGGTGAGGAGATTTGCGATTTAACCGCCTGGCACTTGAACTCAGCATACTGTCATCCGACTAGTGACACACCGTGAACAGAATATGCCTCAAGAGGGGTTAAAATGCCCATGTTTTTAGAAGAGGGGGTGCTAATTCTGACGGGACTGTGCTGGAACGATTTCGCAAAAAAATTTATCAATGAGTGAGAAGTAGCCATTTTGACTTCCTATAACTATCTGCTGCTATGGTGGATCACGCGCCGCAAACTGTAGCGCGGACAGTCATGTCCTGTGGTTGCGACGGAAAGGTTGAGGAGGATCTCTGGCATCTGGTATCAGCTATTTCGCGGTAAGATTGTGCGAAGGGGCATCTTATAATGCAACATTTCGAGTTGCAATGGCCACAACTGTCAATTACTTACCGCACCAGCCGGAATCCTGGGTGGTATTGTAGCGTTCCCATTCGGCCATAGCTTTTCAATTCCAATGCACATGGTTTTGTGAGAAGGGACGGCTCAGTGGTTAGAGCGCGAATTCACTGGCCGGAAGGTCCGTGGTTCGAACCCAACCTCATTCTCCCAACTTCTCCTTTCTAAGCTTGGGCAACCTAGCAGTATCACAGCCCTCGTGCTTCCTTCGGGTGGCATGGCAGCTAGGCACCGAAAGGGGGCTACAACTGAACGGTTTTCCTTTCTATCTTTCAGGGAGCACAATGATAAAACACACAGATAAGTGTCTTGAGCGTCTTCCATATCAAATAGGGATCTCCAACAGTATCCGATCCTTCCCCTCCTTCCTAAATTTGTGAATTAGAGTATATTTGAAACGGCATTCAAAGGCAGTAACTCCATGGAAGTAGAAGTTCTTTGGGGGTGACATGATAACTGGCATTGTGTGCTTGGATACCACTGTTCCCGTCAGTCCTTCGAATGTCAAGAGAGCGAGTGCCATATTCAACGTTGTTTCAAACCAAACCGCTTGGCAAAATTGGTAGACGTCGTCTGCCGGACATGGCAACGGACGATAACCTTCATCGATACTTGGAGACAGTTCGTAACATGGAAACATCCTAGCGTAGGGACCATCGCTTCCAGTTTTATGCTCTCTAACTCCGTTTAGCGGTTTCAACCTGTTCTCTCGCTTCGCCTCTCTGATCTGTCTTTCTCCATGGCCAGCAGAACTAGGGGCAACGGTTCGACGATGAAGACTATGAAGACTGTATTGCAATGGCAATCTAACTCGGATGCAACGGCAATCACCATCAGTTCAAAGCGCTAGGCGCAGAATTGGATGGGCAATCTATTAACCAGAGAGGGCCGGAAAATCCCATCTCTTTGCCATTCCCTCTAACCGCTGTTGACTCAGAATACTCGATTGGATAGAAAGCATAAGTGACTGGGAATAAATTCTACAACTGAATGTGCTGCACACAGGCCGCCTCATGATTCAGTTGATGAGATGACGAGGGATTCGGTTGAGTTTCTCGTGAAAACCAAATTGATTTGCAAATGAGTGTATTTATCGAAAACAGCCTAATTTGGGTTCAAGTAGAACACAAAGTTGACGGAAACTCGTGGCTGCGTCTACCTGATGAGCCCCAAGAAGGGCGAAACCGGTCGTGGGCTGTCGAAGGGTTTTCAGCAACCTTGTGAGTGGGAAGAACTTGTTGGTGACCTTCTTTTGGAGTGCGGTTATACACTAGTTGATAACATGTGCCATTCTAGAAGATACTAATTGAACAAACCGTTTGTTGAAACTGCCATGACTTTCATGCAATCGCATCATGAGTGTCCTCAAAATGGAAGCCCGCAAGCCACAATGAGCCAACGTTCCGCTCGCCGTTGTTTGGTGTGCGGACCTTGACACTGCACTGTGCCTGGTCAGTGATAGACTGGTGCATTTGAGGACGCTAAGAACGTGAACAATTGAGGTTGGATGTATAACCTTGCCCAACTGTTTAAGTAGTACCGGAGAATTTCGAACCCGTCTCTACCTTTTAGTATTCGAAATCGTCAGATCTATGCGTGACTCAAGGTTCCATAAATCGGTTATGTCGAAGACAAACACACTGTCTGTGGATAATGCTCGGGGTGAAATGACCGAATAGATAAAAGGATCGGGGGTGTTCAGATAGGAGAGAGAGAAGAATTCACGTTTAGTTTCTCTCAGAGCGGCTGCTTTGATACACATCACAGCTCACGACAACTTCTCAAAACGCTCCAACAATGTATGCAGCGCGTTCAATCGTCCGACTTCATTTTGGATAAGATGTGAAGCCTGACTTTACTCGGTCCCGCTAACCAGATTTACAGGCATTTTTCTGCCGTGAAAGGCGTTTCGCGATTGGCGGGGGGGGGGTAAGTCCTTCAATTCTGATGAAAACAATCTAAACTAGACGAGAAACGTCAAAACGGGATGTAAAATAACCCGATAGCTACTCACACAATACAAAAGCGTCAGGATTAATGAGCTGAGGCGATCATGCCGCCGTTCAAGTCTGGTGAATTCTCAGACGAACAAACTTTCCCAAGCGCCTATGTGGTAAATCTTTCCACTGTAATTTGTGGAAGCACAAGCAAGTCCAATGTACCAAAGAGAGGATAGTTCCGAGACCAGCACACTGGGGATGCAACCCCGCGTAGGCAGCTAGATGGAAAATGGTGGGAATCAGTTGTGATCATACCTAAAGGACATAGAAGAATCGGGATTCAGTTGATAGTTGTAAGATCTTTGGATAATTTGACATGTGAATTTGAAAACTTGGGTGAAAAGTAGCAAAAATAAGCGAGCGAAAAGAACCATGTTGAGACAGACAGCACCGAACTAAATGAATATCATCGTAAGCTAAGGTGGCTCGGCCACGTGGTAAGGATGCCGAAAACAGCGTTGGCTTCCGTGCTCGAATTCAGAGTGGCGGAAATCTAGAGGTGGACAGAACATGACATGGCAGACGGGAATAAAAGACGTTACTAAAAGGTAGTCGCTGCTGCTGATGTTCGCGAGATGGTCTAAGTGGTTGGAGCGCGAATTTACTGACCGGGAGGTCCGTGGTTCGGACCCGACCTCTGCCTCTCGACTACCCCTGTCTAGCTTTGGGCAACCTGACAGTATCTCAGCCCTCGTGCTTCCTTCGGGTGGCATGGCAGTGATGTTCGCCTTTCACGACAGAGTCCGCGTGCCCACCTTTGTGTTTGACTGGATATACTGAACGATGTGGCAGCTGACGGACGTCAGTGGCGCTCACATTGTCGGTTTCCAGCCAGATTATCTGACTGAGTGTTGAAGGTGTAGGCATCTCGGATGCTTGTGGTAGGCTAGCCCTCCCTACGAAATTTTCGTCTATGGAAATCAGGCTAGCTGCGTCAGGCTGGCATTAGATCTTGTGCGATCCGGTGGAATATTTATCGACAAAGCAAATGTCAACACTGGTGCTGAGAAAATGGATGAGACCGATCAGAGGACACAAACGGGGGCAACAAAGTGCAACAGGACACAGACAGCTAACCAACCTGTCGGATTTTTTGACGAATTAGTGCCTGAAGCGATGGTGGCGGAGGAAGCTGATAGACCAAGATCACTTCGATTTGACGAAGACTGTTCGAACCGGAATAAATGGCCGGAGTGGAGGACGATGTGGCCGCTGTGGACGAACCAGGGGGATAGAACTCACTACCACAGAGCAAATGATCTGTGTAGCCTCGTCGATTGCTACCAGAAGTACCATTGTGTTCGGCAAAATGGATCCGAGGTAAAGGGGAAGGAGAAGAAGACGACAAATTGCCACTTGCCGCCAGACTGGGCTGCAGCAAATCGATGGCCACCGGAGGAGAAGGAAGCATCAGAGAAGAGGTAGTTAAGTCACCTGGAGTGGGGAGTGATGGATCGGCCAGCTAGGAAGGAAGGAAGGAATTCAAAAAAGTGCTTGAGGATATTGACGTCAGAGTACGAACCTATCGATTTAGTAACGTAGTGATCGAAAGAAACTCACCTAGAGTTTCAAACTGGTGAAATACAAAATCTATTAAAACTTGCCTTCCTGCCTACGGAGCATCCGTTATTCAATGACTTCCTGATTATGGGAATCAATACAATTGTCTCAGGAAATACAATTTCAAACATAAGACGAAGGACCTGACCTTTCCCAACGAAATAAGCGTGTCTCAAGTGACAGCAAGATGAATTCCAAATTCCCTTATTCCGGATACATAGTCAAGATGGTTTGATGAGATACTTCAGTTGATTCAGTCCGATCAAAATTACTGTGTCACTTCATCTATCCAGGCGTCAGCATCGCCTCACCTACGTCACGTGACTGAATAGTCGACAGTCTGTGTCCCCATTCCATGCTTCCGTAACCCCCAAATTGGTGTTGAATTCAACTACTTGTTTCTTTTAGGGTTACGTTCCGAAACAGAGTCAGTGGAAGACCCGATATGTATAACCGTGGGTATCATAGAACTGGTACTATCCAACTTGCAATCAATTCGGAGACAACGACAGACAAAGTGTGATAAAAGGGATAATGTAGACTCGCGCTTATCGATATGCTCCGTCAGAAATGTTCCACCATCTGGACGACAAAAGCTTCGTGTGTTTCATTATGCCGACTTTTTGGATTACGTTGACAGTCACCATGACAACAACTTCCGGTATTACCTTGAAACCGCACAGTTTTATCTAAGCGTATTGATTGAGGTGTCAGATAATCAACTGTTCGATTATCTGCAAACGACTCTGCATGTGACGGGAATTCAAAAACAGACAACTGACTACTGATGGCATACTACTGATAAGCTGATCTGTAGTGCTGTGCTCCAGCAAGCACCAAGCAATCTGACAGTCTTATTCCCAATAGCTGGATATTTCTATCTGCCCAGCAAAGAAAATTTTCATCGTCAAAATTTGTTAGAATCTAAATATGCACTACCCTAAGTGAGAATGGTGAAACTGTCTTGAGATGAAATCGAGAAGGATGATATTGTCGTAGCGGTAAAATAAGCGGAAGAACACAAACCTCCGGATAACCTGTCTGGTCTGTTTTGCCGTAGGCAGAGCAGTTTGGTAGGTGCATTTTGTGCTAGAAAGTTAGGAGGTTAGATAGGCCATGATTGTGCCACACTGCACTCGTCGCCATTTTATGAACCCGTGTGCGGTGCGCGCATCACTTTGTACGCTGGAAACACTATATTGTACCGGGAATTGAAAAGTACCAAAGCAGTGAGGGCAACTGGTAGGGGCAGGCAGGACAGAGTCCCGTAAACGGCCGGGCAATGAAGTGATTGGTCTCTGCTAGGGGTTGCATGCTACTCGGGGAGGGGGGTATCCCTTGAGTGGTTACTGTACGCAGAAACAATAAGAGCACGAAAGATAAAAATCACCGTCACTCACAGATGAGTATATTGGCCGCAGTTTTTCGGAACCGGGCTGGAGAAGACGCGCATGGGATTTCGAAGCATCTAAGTATAAATCAGTCACATCGCTGATCAGCCACTTGTGGCCGTATGGCTAATTGTTCAAAATATTAGCCCGGAAGTCGCGGGTTCGAAACTCTTCGGCAGAGTTTCGTGAGATGCCCACTGCTGATGCTTCTTAACAAGGATGAAACGACTGTACAGTGCTTCACAGTTTTTCAGTAAAGACCTCTTAGGGCTAGCGACATTCAAATCATCGTTGCCACACACCCCGAGAGCTGTTAGGGTGCTTAGATTAAGACAATAGCCATTGGCAAGACACGACGGGAGATTTAGAAAGAGAATCTTTTGTCAGTACTCCAGTCTCTGGGCCGATTTGATTCCACGCAGTGGTACACGCTGATCTGGGCTTAAGTGTGCACGATTCAAGCGTAAGTATGCTACAGCTATTAAACGGGAAGGTGCTTCAGTAACAAGCGCTGTTGGGCCCCAAAGTCTGGACTCAGAACGGCTTCACATGTCAACGTGTTCATGGTCTCGGCCACATTTCTGCGTATTGGACGGGCCAGCCCGACGCTGTGTGGAACAAAGCTGAAAGTGAACCGTGGGTACGGAATCAAATTTTTGATACCAACATCTACGGGACAGTGTTCGGGGATCTTCGCGGCACAGCAACGGTGGAACGGTGATTGGAACACACGTCCTGAGTCTCGTGCGGGGCACAAATGGTTCTACCATATCAAGAGAACTTCTGCAGAAAAAGAGTGACGTCGAGTCGGTATCCCGGCCATCTGTACTATCTCCTAGAATAAGAGCGGAATTTATGGAACATCCATTCGGCTAAACGCACCGCCGTAGGTCTATGTACTGATATGAGCGAGATAATTTCCGGCTGCCACGGTCGAGAAGCACAGTTGAGTGAACGGCCAACGTATGGAGTCTTCTATTCAAAGATACTCAGTAACAGAATGAAGAATGGAGTCTGTAAACGCCTTGGAACATGTGACCAACTCTAGTTCATACTCATCTTGGATGGAAGCCAGCTATAAGGACACTCAGTGTATCCAATACCCCGATGAGCAGAATCTTCTTCCCAAAGTCACGATCCAAGAATGCTTCATGCACCGTCCGTTGCTGTTCTGAAAACTGATTTCAACCAGTTCACTTAAACGGTTTCTTCGTAGGTCTGATAAAGTTTCTGGGGTGAAAAAACCCAGTCGGGCGGACAGACCAGTCCAATCAAACATAATACTGCAATATGACACTGCAGAGTCATTGGAGTAACTCGGCGCAAGCGAGTTATTTTTCCTAAGCAACTTCAAGTAGTTTAAAAGATTTGCATCTAAACGTCTTTTGACAGGATATGTTTCCAGTTGACTTAATCTGCGAAATCAGAGCTTTCGGTCTCCAATCTTCGCAAAAAACGTGGAAGCTTGCCATCCATGAAAGAAGGTTATGACGGAGGGCAAAACCATTCATGGAGGGTTCTAATCTCTTGGAAGCTTAGGCACTTTACTCGGCAACTGAACAGTCCGCTTGAAAACGAAGCTTGCAAGAGGAGAATAGGTGCTCAAACGATTTCTGATCGGCCAATCTATCAATGGCATACCGTCTGGCTTTCACGTAGCAGTCGATATGATAAAACGGCCCAATCGGACGATATATTGGTCGGGAAGGGTTTAAGAAAAAAAACATGATAGGTTTCTACTTGTGGCAGACAGATGTTTTTCAAACCACGGTTGGCGACAGAAAAACGCAGATGATTTTGTAAATACATGCCCAGGAAAACACGGGTCGATCAAAAGGCAGAGGTAGAAGCGAAGTATATATATATCGGTTTAGTGCGGGCCTCCAGAAACCTTTGGAAAGCGACAAAAGTACCACAGCTGGCTGACATTAAAATGGCATACAACTAGGCCGCCCTGCTAGCAGAGTAAAACAGATGGTTCGAGTGACTGAAGAGACAAATATCTCAGCTGATCGCACGACAGTGTTCACGTCACGTGACCAATACGAACCGTGCACAACAACAATAGGATGGCATAAACATGCGTTTTAAAATAACACAATGGTGACCAGAATCGTGCGTGTGTGAATTTGGATTAGGGTATACAGGACACGTAGTTCGAATAGGTGACCTCTTGCAGATTGGATGCTTAGTACAAATCATGTGCGCATTGTTTGGAATGTACTGTAAACGGCTGTCGTTTATGCAACCAAGCGGGTAGCACGCACCGTTGGAAATCGCCACAAATGAGAGCAAAGTTATCAGCGAACGTGCAGTCTAAAAATCGTTCAGCCGTAACACTCTTCCGGTGCCTAGTTGTCATGCTAACCGAAGGAAGCACGAGGGCTGGGATACTGCCAGGTTGCCCAAGCATAGACAGGGGAAGTGGAGAGGCAGATGTCGGGTTCAAACCACGGACCACCTGGTCAGTAAATTCACGCTCTAACTACTTGAGCCATCTCGCCCCCCATGTTCAGTCTGGGTAACCATGGTGGGGGCTGAGTATCCGAAACCCGATAAAATTCAGCTGCCACACAGAGAGAAAAAATAAGATAGGGGTTATCGGAGCCTGACGAGCAGTCTAGTGCTGATCATAACAAAAGCTCTAGCTTTTTTTTCATAAAGGAAACTACTCACAAGGTTGCTGAAAACTCTTCGACAGCCCACGACCGGTTTCGCCCTTCTTGGGGCTCATCAGGTAGGCGCAGTGAGTAGTTTCCTTTATGAAAATATACTTCGATATCTCGAATATCGTGCCAACTGAATCATGAGGCGGCCTGTGTGCAGCACATTCAGCTGGAGAACACCATAAACGAGAGATTCAATTGAGTCTCCCGTGAAAACCAAATTGAGTTGCAGATGAGTGTATTTCTCGAGAAAAGCCCTAGCTGTTCAACGAGACAGTGATTGTTAGTTCTTCCATTCATCAATAGCCCTCCGTATCTGAAGGAGATAGTTGGATTCACAAAAGGATTCCGTTAGGATACTGCGACAGATTGGCTTTGAAGAGCGCCACAGATTCGTAACAGCTTCGCAATTATTCTGGACATTTCGTAGTGGACCAAGTCCACCAAGTCCAGGATGGAATTCAGATTTGGAAGTTCTGAATCTCTGAACTATGCACAAGCAACCTGCTCATAGAGGGAGACAACATCCCATGAGTGATTGACAGGGGACGTCCCACAAGAAATCTTCACTTGATGGGGCCATCAATACCAGATGGTGCAGCGTGAACCGGGTAACAAGTACTACAAAGACGGGCTCGCGCATCCCAAGATAGGCTTCAATGAACAGATCTCATGGTTTATTACATCATGGACGAATTCTCCTGATGATATGGTACAGACACTGCTACCAAAACTCAAGGAGAGAAACCCCGATTCTTCAAACGCACTTGTTGGGCAGCAAAAGTTCAATATGAAGGGTGAGTATGTCTCTCGCACGGGCGGTGATTCTGAAATGACCTACTGAGTAATGGTTATGGCTGCGATCCGCACTTATCTGTCATTATCTTGTGTTTGTCGAGTTGAATTCGGTTTAACACCAAAAAAGCAACAACTACGTGCCTTGGCACACAGCAACCAGTGCGCAAATTCATTTGTGTTGACCAGCAAGGTGTCTGCCAGCTTTTGAACGAACTGAGGAAGCTGAGGTTCGGGACCGGGTATCAAGTGTGGTTCCTGTGAAGGCTGTACGGTCAGTCCCTTCAACGTACACCATCGCCAAAATCGGTGGCTGAAGATTTTTCTTTGCCTCAAATTGAGTTTGAAATGCAGAGAATGAGATTAGTTCGAGGTGGGGCTTAGTGGTTGAATCGTTACCGGAAGGTCCGTAGAGTTCGAACCCAATCGCGCTATCTCGACTGTTCCTGTCGAGCCTTGGGCAACCTAGTAGTATCGCAGCCCTCGTGCTATTCATCGAAAGGGTGTTATAACTGAGCAATTAGCTACTACTTAATACAGAGTAACATGCCTTAGGTTTTGTCGAATCTATCCAATATTACCCTATATGCTCAGTAAGATGAGAGAAAAAAGATTTTACCATGATTTACACACAATTTCGGTTTGGCTATATAATATAATTATTTTCCAAAAAGCCTTCCGGGATCGCTTGCTTTATGGGATGCCGGAAGGGCACTCAATCGCATTCGATCGAATCACCCGTACCGTACA